TAGAGGTGACGTCGGTTTTGATGGCTCGTGACGTCGGTTATTCGATCCCGAGTTGAAGTCGGACCCAACGATTCGGATTAAGCCAAAAGTGATAACAGGACAACATGGCTAATTCTCAGTCAAGTTTATCTTTTTCTCCTGTCACCTTCTGCAACCCTTCTTCTTTGTATGTGTGCTCTGTTTTTATCCGTTTGCATAACAGGCAAACTTAGGAAAATTAAAATTTGAGAGATAAGACAGAACAAAAAGGTGGTGGCAATACGACATACATAAAAGCCGCAGCAAAATTTTATCGAAAGTTTTTATCTTCAATAAAGGCTTATTGCTGGGAAAAGGAAAGAAACTTTTGCAGGATCATAAGGGATATTCATGAACGTTTGAATGACAGAGTACTGAACATAGCAAAATTAGAATAGGATTATGAATAATATCATCTTTGAATGATCGTCTTTCGAGGTAAGGATGTAGTCGTGTAGCAGCGGAGGTGCCCGCCCTCCTTCTAGCGCCAAACTGTTGTTATACGATTTTGTAACAACAAAAATGTACACCCTTATTCCGTGAATAATCGGTGTAATATGAATTATTGGAGATTTTTTGGATGATGTATTTGTATTGAATCATTGTAAGAAAGAATTGAAGAGGAGCTCCCAAGAACTATCATATGTTTTCTTTTTTTTTTTTAAAGTTCAGAGGCGGTGCTCTGGATGAGATAAGGGAGCAGAAAATGAAAATGTCCCTCATAAGATAATAATCGCCCTTATCCATCATTGGGATATATATATATATATATATATGGATATTTATTGGGCCCGATATTATTACAAGCGGTATTATTTTTGGGCCTTAACAATAAGATAAAAGATAATAATTGATTTAATACATATCCATATGATTTAATATATATACCCACGTAGAATATCTTAATAGGCAAGGCCAAAATTAGGTATCAACAATTTGTTAGTCACCAAAGTGGCCGGATTAATTTTCTAATGTTTGGTCATATAACTTATGTTCTCTTGAGAATGTCGTTATTTAAGATAATGGGTTTATTGGTTGTTAGAAATTATGGATTTACCCAAAGGTGAATCAATGTTCTATAACTAATAAACATTAAGGAGAAATATAATATATTTTGTCGAGCGTATGTAGATATCCAACGATACTATGTATGTTAGACGAAGTTTATTTAATTTCTCATTAAGTGTTAAATGACATTCGACTTATGATAATGATATATATTGTTGGGTTTACCCAAAGGAGACCTGCAATATATTTTATGAATGATTTTCTAAATCTATTGATTAAGTGAGCTTTTATGATTGTGCAGCTATCTCTCTTCATTCGCAAGCTTCTTCTGTTACTGTCTTCAATGGTTTGAATTTCTCTGAATGGCGTGAGCAAGTCAATTTCCATTTAGGTGTTTTGGATATTGATTTGGCTCTGCTTGAAGAAAAGCCTACTGACATTAATGATCAAAGCAGTGAGGCTGAGAAATCAAACCGTAAGGCTTGGGACAGGTCTAACAGATTATGTTTGAGCTTTATGCGAATGACGATTGCCAACAACATTAAGTCAACTCTTCCCGATAATGTGGATGCAAAAGCATATCTTTTGCTTGTGGAAGAGCGTTTTCGTTCCGATGATAAGTCATTGGCAGGAACACTTATGGCTGAACTCACGACCAAAAAGTATGATGGGTCGCGTAGTATGCAGCAACATATTCTTGACATGACTAATCTTGCAGCAAGGCTTAAGTCCCTGGGCATGACTGTTGATGACTCATTTCTGGTGCAATTTATGCTTAACTCGTTGCCTCCTGAATATGGGTCATTTCAAATTAACTATAACACTATTAAGGATAAGTGGGATGTTAATGAATTGGACAGTAAGCTTGTTCAGGAGGAGACGAGACTTAAGGCACAAGGAGTTCATACAGTCAACCTTGTGGGTCGAGGAGCTAATGATGTTCTCAAACAGAAATCCAACAAGTTTAAGAAGAAAGGACCTGCTAAAGTCTCACAGGTCACTAATGATGAAAAGAAGGAAAATCGGGCAAATAAATGTTATTTCTGTAGAAAAGAAGGTCACGTACAGAAAGATTGGTGAAAGATAAGATTCTTTTGGATCTAGATTTTACCAATCTTGGGT